CACGGCGAGCAGCAATGTGAACATTAGTGACAAAGAACTGAGCAAGAGGAAGCTACACTGACATCTGATCCCAGAGCTGAGCAGAAAACCACAGTCAAATGCAGACCAATTTCTACATAGGTCAAGTTTCCAATGATGCCAGAGGGCCTGATGCAAATGGAATCTTGCAGCTGAACTAGGAATGTGCCAGCCACAGTTTGGATGACATCAGTGTGGTCTGCAAAAAGTGCTCTAGGTTGGGAAGAGAAGGTCACAGTGCTGTTGAGGAACTCAAGCTGGTACCAGCATACCCCTAGTTTCTGAAACAAATGCACCAAAAGTTTCAGATATCTGTTTTACTGACAGGTTCAACAACACATTAGGGTGCTTATCTTAAGTACTTTACTCGTGGATGTACCTGGTCAGTTTGTTTCTCCTGTGTGTATTACGTGAAATATTCAAGGCTGTGTCTACATCAGTACTTTTCTCCAGTTTATTTTAGCTATAAAAAGTGTAGATTAAAGGCAGGAGCTTTCTGACAAAGTCCACCATACCTTCTTTGCCACTTTTCCACGACAGGCTCTATGACCGTGATTTCCACCTTGACTTTCTCAACCATTCAACTGGATATTTCAATTCACGGTAGTTCTAGCAGCCTAATTAAAGGCATGCCCTGATTTCTTTGCTTTGTTTTTTTAGCACGTGTTGATTGCTCTTATTATTCCACTTTCAGTTAATTATCTTCTTGACCCTATGTTAAAAAAGTAACGATATATCTCTTTTTGCTGAAATCGCAGAATTATCAGCAGAAGGCCTGGAAAAAGTCACATGAATTACATTCCTTCTAGTTTGATCCATGAAATGCGTAGAGGCAATTTTTTGGTTTACTCTGTGAATTCAAATCAAGTTGCTGATTATTCTCAACCACTATTGGATGACATTTAATACTGCTTTGCAAGATTCCTACAGAACTCATGCCTCTATTGGTTTGTTTTGGTTCTAGCTCAAAGATCCAAATGTAAAATTTCATTCTTGTCCTCTTTTCTGAGGGGCAGGCACTGGCAGGGCAGGAAAAGCAGTATTCCACCACAGTTTTCACAAGACTGCAATACAACTTTAGCATACTACTAGTCATGGCGGTTATCTTTCAGATGTCAAAAAGGTAATATGGAATATATGCTATAGCTTATTTACTAAAAAAGATACATCAGACACCATATGAATTTTAAGGTCATTTAAAGAGAGTCTGTATAAAGTATATGACCTATCTATATCTCCAAAGCTATTTTTTTTTTAAATCATGCAGTAGACATGAGATAATACGCACTTCACAGCACAAAAAGAAATGGGAAAGATTAATACACCGCAGGCAAATGATCTTTCCTGTTGCTTTTTTTTTAATTCCATGCTAGTCCACAAAACCTTTCCAAAGGGTCTGCACGCCTGGTGTGAGTAGGCAGATATGATGATCAGAACTTGTTTGAAAGTAACTAAGAACTCTGATAACTGTAATCCTGATCAGCACTACTTCTTCAGTTGTTTTAAGTGAACTAAAAGAAAAAAAGCTGAAGTTTTCTTACTTACACAAATGTTTAATTTCTTTATCTCAGCAAAAAATGCCAATAACCTACATCAAACAATGAAGGAATGGCTTTAAAGCAAAGACCACAGAATCCAAAAGCAAATTCTCCCTTTTTTGTAATGCACACGATTCTTATGCACTTATCTTCAGTTGACACTGCTCAGACAGCTTTCAATTGCCTAAAGACTTCTAGGGCACTTGCTCTAAAAAGACTTAAGTCTACTGTAGGTTCTAAAATATTTCTGCTCGTCTCCTGTCAATATCTTGGATATGCAGGTCACCTAAAGCATTAAGGCAACTTGATCCAGCCCTCAGTGACAAGATAAGCATCATTAAGAAAAAAGATGCATGTGCTACAGATGGTATTTTCAAAGCATTTCAATTCAAAAGTAACAAAGTGCTTTTGGATATCTCAAGCTTCAAACTGTCATGCTGAAATAGTGAGTGCCGTTCCCACAAAGAATAGAGCATCACCCAGCACTTATGCAATCAGTGGAAAGATATTGCATCTTATGCTTCTCCCTGTGAGGTAACTTGTTTTCAAGCTCATGTAATGCTCTACAGAAGTGTTATGGTAGCTTGCTAGTGATCAGTGTCCCCTGTGTACGTGGAAAAAATAAAAACAGCACAGAGGTGCTTGTTTGTACTCATACCTACCCACATTACTAGAGTAACCCAAATGAAAATCAATGCAGTTAAATTAGTTACACTGCTCCAAGCGCATCTTCATGATGTGTCTTAAATCTATTGTCACAGCAAATTCAGGATACCCGGACAACTTCAGGAACACCAACCAGTGATTCAAGTCAGAGAGCTCAGAGTCAGCCCCCCTGTCCAACTGCTCACTAGACCTTATGAAAAAAGAGTTGGAAGGAAATGGCATGCGCCGTTAAATCAGGAATGCTCTCTCTCAGTCTATATTCAATTACTAATACAGAACCAAAAACTCCTAGAGGGAAGAATACTTAAGGATAATGACCACCTTTCAAATCATAAACATACAAAACAACTTAGTTTGACAGAGTCAAATTCATTGTAAGATTCAGAATTTATTAAAAATTGAAGATTTTGCTACCTTGCTACCTAGAAATGTCTTTCCTTACAGGAAAAAAAAAATCAGGCATGAAACACTGTTTAAAACCACCTGTTTTCATGCAGCATTTCTTTAACCAATTCAAAGGTCTGAAAACCATTCCTCTGTGGTACGGCAGAAGCATATGGTGGTGACAAGCATTACTCTCTGAAGAATACCCTCCCCAGAGGGGCGCATTTCATTTAATTGGAAAAGTCTGGGGTCTGACAGAAGCAACAACATATGCAGCCTGTCATGTTTCCAACTAGAAAGCCCATTCTCACTGTGGTTTAAACATGAACTTTCCCTCAGCTATCATCACTGACTGTGTTATATTTTTCCATTAAGTTTTAGCCCACTGTTTGTATTTAATCCTGCTCTCCTTGGCAAGGCGCATACATTTTTTAATTCTTAACCACAAATTTTCTAAGTGGAGTGTTGATGTCACTAACTGACAACATGACAAATGTTTCAAAACTTCCAGCAAGAACTGGGGACTTGCTTTGTTGATTACTGCACATCTAAACCAAAATTCAGTCTCTCTTCAAAGGTTTATAAACTACTATACTAAAGCATGGTAGCATCACTCAAGCTAAGGTCAAGATACTGTTTTACCAACTGATTTTCTAAGTGTTATGTAAAATACAAACAAACATGGGTTGTTCTGCAAGCTACTACAATTGCTTATTTGCAAAAATCTGGGTACTTTTTAAAACCTCAAATTTTATATTCACAAAGCAGATTGTGGAAATAGGTCCTAAGAAGCAACATTGCATCAAGATTATCCTCAACGTGCAACTTCCATGAATACCCCTAAACTCTGGTCTGATCTCAGCAAACTGGATTAATTTTATCTAGTGAATCCCTTCAAGGGAGCAATACCCAATACCATGAAAGCATACCATGGAGAAAAACTGGCTCTACAACAACATAGTTTTACTCAAGAAGAAGGCGGCAACATTACTTTCTGCTAAAACAAACAGACAAGAAGAACTTGCAGGGAGCCTGATGTTACAGCAGACTGCAGCTCGGTGGCACGTCACGGGTGAGTGAATACTGGCAGTAATACAGCCTTCCCTGTAGCAGCTTTCTGAGAATATGTTACATGTCTTAGTTTGATCTAAGCCTCATTTTACAGAGGACTTCTTTCTGGATATTTTGTCTCACATGCACACAGACATTTTGCATTACTTTCAACAGCTAATATTTTAAGGTGGCCAAAAATGTACATGCCGATTCAGGTTTTACTTTAGATGTATCACGAAGGGCAATACCACTAATTACAGAGATGATGGTAAATGAAAAGCTCTACTAAGTAGCAACACCAAGAGAATAACCAGGCCAGAGATGCTGCTGTCTACCTGCCTGAATGCAGAACTGCTGCATCAACAAAGCTGCTCTTTCCTCACTGTTAACACAGCTGAACAGATTATTGAACTTCAGGGAAAGATCCCAAGGTAATATCAACAGCAACATACATTTCACACAAAAAAAATTCACATACAAATTTCTGCTTTGCACAACAGTTCATCCAATCTACACAAACTGGGAGACGAGGGCCTCTTGATTTCCATTCTTTGAGCTCCCTTGAAAATATTTGGGCTAGGCTGATCTGGTGGGTTTTGAGGTGCGCAATTTTAGAGTGGCTGTATCCATATTTCTTTAGCAGAAATCAGGGCACATCAAACAATATTTTTCTCACTCCCACAGCCAAAAAGTGTGTAATGATAACAGGACTTAAGAGCCACTCGCCTCAAAAGGGCATTTTTATTGATCTTTGTTCCTTTTTGCATATCCTCCTTTCCTGATGTGACCCCATCTTAATACTACCATGCTGCATGATGTCCAGACGGTTTATAATACAACTTAGACTATGTGCTTCAGTGCTTCTCAGATACCTGTACCTCCACAATGAAATAGTTTTAACACTGGTCCAAGACCAGCCTGTACAGCCAGATTAGCTTGAAAATAAACTTTAGGAGCATGTAATGTAAACTTAGATATCACAAGTATAAAAATATTTAAGAACAGAAACACACTCTCCTGCAAGTTGTAGTATAGAATTTTCACCACTTCTTCCATTTAACATGAGATCTACTTAGTAACTATTTTGAGTATTTTCTTTTCAAACCATCAAGGTTACTTTATATAAAGATGAGTATCATCTTTCTTGCAGAAAGTGACAGCATCTCGTACTGTGTTTAAACCACAGCAAAACTCTCCTCTTCCTTTTAGTCACAGTTCAGTACAAGTAACCCCTCTCAGCTAACCTTGAATTTTCTGTTGCTTCTTTAGACGCTAGAGCTGAAAGCATAAGTACATAATACACAGAATGAAAAGCAGTGATGTATTTAAGCGAGGCCATACCTGAATACTCCTTCCATTTGGTCTTTGGTGTAGCCTTTTCCACTTTCACCTGCAGCAGATGCATTGCTCTCCTTCGTGCTATTTGGCTTACTTTGATCATTGCTACTGGCTGGTTTTCGGCAGTAAGCGCCTCCCCCAGCAGTACTTCCATTCTTCGTAATAGCTTCCAACAAAACTATAAAACAACAGTATATCATATATCATTATAGGCATTAGTGATTAAGTCGGGGCTCTCAAGTATCTTAAATGGGAGCACCACATTGTAAAAGTCTAGCTGCTACATCCTCCTTCCTTACTGATCACCACTTTGTACCACAAACATTTCCGAAGCCAGTCTAGTGACTCCTTTTCATGGCAAAACTATGGAAAAGTGTTTCAAAACTAGTGGCTGGACTCCCCTCCACCTCTGCCAAGGTAATTTAATACTGGAGAGAATTTGTCCAGGACCTTCATTTCTAGATGGTTTTTAGAGGCACTGAACCCACTCTTTGGGGTGAAAACGTCAGAATACCTGAATAAGTGACTGTATATAGAAAAGAGGAACTAACCTAACACTCTAAAGAACCTGCAAATTATTCCATACAGAGACCAAGCCCATCGCCCGCACATTTCAGTTGCTGCAGTACATAGCTATTTGTAACCTGAGCCGTCAGTGGCCACGAAGTGATGCTCTATACCCCTTCCAGGCAATACCAGCTGAAATTCAAACTACTGTTAAATGCCACAGGTAAGTCAGGACCAGCCAACTACAACCAGCTCTTGAGACCTGGATCTTGAAAACCAGCATGCTTTTGCTAGATCTTGAAATCCTCTTTCCTTCCATGTTCCGACAGATCTCAAATTTAGCAATTTTAATAAACCATCAGACACTAAGTTTTCTTTTTCTTTCTGGATATAAGCCTGTATTTTGGGGGTATCTGTCTTACCAATAAATCAGAAACAGTACCATTCTAATTTAAGAGACACATAGCATAATGTGGATCAAAGATTATGAAATAGTCTGTCTTTCCTGAAAAGAGATCCCTTCAGAGCAAGACGGCAATCTACATAGGCCAAATTTGTTTCATAAACAACTGAGAGTTACTATTTGCATAAAAAAAATGCCCTAACAGAAATTCCCAAGGAAAAACATCCCACTTGATCTGAAAGCTTGTTATAGCTTTACTATTAAAAACCATTTCCTTCCAGATGCTAGAGAAAAGAAGCCTGAAGGATTTTCTTCTAAATCTAATTAGAAAATTTCTCCTCCGACTAGCGTGGTCTCTCTTATAGCAGCAACAAACTGCAATCCTACACATCATAGCCTGTAACTCAGAGAAGCACAGGGAAGAAAAGAAAGCGGAGCTTTGTTTAAAAGGAAAAGAACCACTTCCTTAAGATGTGCTTCTTAAAAACTCTTCAGTATTTGCTTTTACTTATTAATTCGCTTATTACCCACTGGCCACAGCAATCTGAAGTGCTGCAGATGAATAGCTACACTCAGCCTGAACAAGAAAGTCAGCTGACTTCAGTGCTTGTGCCTGCCTCAGCAAGACTCATAATTGATCAGATCAGGCTTTTTACTGCAGAAATAAAGAAAAGGCTAACATTTAGATGCTGAGTTGTATACCGAGAGGATGTTTTCACTACAAATGAAATTAAGTTCTTGAAAACAGGAGCGCTATAGTTGCACTATGGATTATAGCTGAAGCACATACCCAAATATTTGCAAGTTTATTCTAATACCATCCGTTACGACATTTAAAGTTCTGAGGTAAATGAAGTAATAACAACTCCAACAAGCTGACTCTGTCTGCAGGCTAAGAACTACTTAAGAACATAGATTTGAACAGACAGTGCCCTCAGAAGGAAGAATATTCAGTCCAAATGTGCTCCAGACAAGTGATAACCGAAAACAAAATTCTTCTTTGTCTGTTCTGTGACGTTAGATATTTAATAATGCTATCATGTGGGATCCTATCGAACACGTGACCCTGACTTAGCCTCTAGAAATAATGCTTACTCAGCAGTTTTGCAAATCCTGCCTTTATATCAGTACTGCTCTAGAAATCACCCATCCCTGCACTAATGCTTGTGCAAAATCAGTAGTAGCAATAACGGTAGAAATGCAGGTATAGACAACAGTTTGCATTTCTAACGCCCAATGTCTCTTTCACAGCAAGCTTAGCTGGTAAGTCTTTTCAAGAATTGGTTGGGCTGCAGCACAGTTTCAACATTACTACCTCTTAATCACCTTCTCGGACCTTCCATCCCCATAACAGAGCTGCACCGCTAAGAAAACAGTGCGGGACACTTGGAAAAAAAAAATAAAAAAAAATCTGTAGATGTTAACTTCTTAAGAGAGCAGGACACAGCACATATAAACATGCTATTGTTCTACGTTGAAAAAGAAAACAGTACAAAGGGTCTGGGGCCATCGTCTTCTTCAAATAAGAGATATAGTTCAGATATTCAGAAACAACTTTGACTCTTCCATGAACTGCTGGTGTAAAACTAGCTGTTAGAACTGTCGTAATGACAGCATACTAAAGAAAACTTTCACTGTGCCTCTAGGTATTTTAAAATAGGACACACAAAGAACCAAAGACTTATTTTGTTAGCAGATAAGACAACGACTCTTATCTCCAAATGTGTCTGAAGGCTCTCCTGTGTGTACCCTTACCTGCTGCTGAATGCAAGATTCTTGCACTGCATTTGATTCCATTATGCAGAGTTTCAAGACCAGGTTGGACGGGGCTCTGAGCAACCTGATCTAGTTAGCGGTGTCCCTGCTCACTGCAGGGGGGTTGGACTAGATGACTTCTAGGGGTCCCTTCCAACCCAAAACATTCTATGATTGTATGTGCTGACCCACACTTTCACTTATGCTGAATTCAGAATTCACACCAATGTGACACCCTAAAAAAACTAAGCTCACATACTCCTGAAAAGTTTGTTTTTACAGGCAGTATCAGAAGTAGCGCAAGAGAATCTTAAGAAGCACTGAAAAATAAAGCTGTCCTGAACGTCATTTTCTGCCTTCAACTCCAAAAAGAATGGCACCCGAGTTTGAAAAGGAGATCTTGTCCTTTGTTAGCTGTAAATCCACTCTTACAAATTGTTTCCAGACAAGCAATTAATTTCCATTCAGTTGCAAGACGAATCATTAGCAAAAATCATAATCAAACACTATCTTGAACAGCTGAATTGTAAAACAACTTTCTAGCAGTGACGTCAGCATGAACACTGCTACTATGAAGTCATTAGCCAAGTATCATTAAATAAGCACCAACCTTACATTTCACACTAGTAAAGCCTTAAAATAGCACCGCTGCAGTCAGCGTGTTTCAGGCAGAAGCTTTGTTTAGCAAGACTAAACTTCACTGATGACTGAACTAGTGCTGAATGCACTTTAAATGCAAATGTTGCCAAACCCAAACCACACACAGTATTGTTTTAGAGACAATAGTTAAAACCTGCTCTCTGTCCTTTTACAATCCGGGAGGAGGAAGTTCCCATCAGTAAAAGGTTCAGCATTACCATTGTCATTGCTTTTATCACTGATGGAACATCTTTTGTGAAGTGGTGGGCAATTGTTCCCAAAATGATAGGAAAGGTATAACCCATGAAGCATTCGTGACTTCAGTGACAAATTGGTACAAACTACCTTCTAATACATACCCCCCGAAGAGAAAATAAGCGAGCACAGTGACAACGGGGCTGCACCATATTGTCCTATCACCATATACACCCAGCTCATTATGACTGTAAAATAAGAATTTATGTTAGAACTAAGAGACCTCACAAAACCTTAACTGTTTCCTTCTCTTGGGTATGTACTATGACACATTTTTAATTATCTAATGAACTGCTTGGGTTGGGTTTTATTCTAAGTGGACCCCCTCCCTGCTTAATTTATCTAAAAGATGACAATGAGGTAATGAAGCAGTAATTCCATTTGTTCTTCATCAGTATAAAATTCTAGTTCTAATTTATTGCACATCTTCCAGTTCCTATCCTGAAAACAGGAAATTCTGCGCCCCTGCATCTTAGTGCACTTTCAACAGGGTTATTTAAGTGCCTCAAACTTAAAAAAAAAAAAAAAAAAAAAATAAAATCAATGAGTTGGTGTTGTTTTGGGAGGAAAGGGCTGAGTTGAAAAGAATTACCAACCTCCACAGCTAGAAAACTGAAGCACATCAATATTACAAGTTTACAGAGTCCCCTAATTTCTAAGTACCTAGTTCAAATCAGGCCTAGGGCCTGATTTTTTTCAGTGGTATTAGGGCATCTGCAATTCTCATTAGCTTCAGATGGAGCTTTAACTGCCCACCAGTTCCACAAATCAGGCCCTTGTTTCAAGCTGAATACCTGAAAAATGAAGCACAAACAATTAGCCATCACTAATGGAAACCGAGTGAAGTGACTTATTTAACATCACAGAGAAATTCTGTGAAGCATTTAGTTTCAATACACAATTCCCCAGATTACAGTCCACTACCATAACCACAGGACCATCTTCTTTTCACCAGATCTGTAACTCACTTGTGACATACTTTGCTAATTTCCACAGTGAATAAAACAAGTGTCCTACAGACAATAGCCTAATTAGCCACCTATTTCTTGCGCTGAATACTTTACAATGGTGGTTATGTAGTAGCAGTCCTACTTAAAAGAAAAAAAACCCCGAATACTCAAAACATAATTCAGATGGAGATATCTTTTTTTTTTTTTTTCCTGAGAGCTACTGTAACTCTTATTTTGGAGGTATAAGACGGTCATAAGCTATGTGAAGCAGACAAAGTTATTCAATTTCTGTGGTGGAAGAAGCTGAATTGAAACCTTCCTGCCCATTGACCAACACAGCTTCCAAAAAACATGTCATCTTCTTAAGCCACAGAAACACGGGGGAATAGGGCAGACTTCTGCTTGTTTTTATTTCAGAGCGCTGTCTAATGTGGCAAGAATATAAACAGTGTCACATTCTTGATCCAAAGCAACGGTTGCCTTCCTCCAGGTGATTTACCAGCAACATCCATCCCGTCTTGCAGGAGAAAAAAACCAAATAAACCACCCACTCAAAAAACCTATATACTATAAAAAAGAATAGAACTGATGAGGCCTTTGCTTATTGTTTGCATATAAAAAGTAGTCAGGAGATAAGAGAAGACAGAAAACTTTCACTGAATCTGCTCACCTGATTTAAAGGTTTTACTATAGAATAAAATACAGCACAGAACACTTCCAGTCAGGATTTCACCCCAAAGTCATGTTCCAAACATGGTAACTCCTGAGGCCTTTACGGCAGTACGGAGCACTGAAGCCTTCCCTATTCCTTCCATGGCATAGACAGTGCACGCGAGAACCAGAGGAACGCAACAAGTCACTGCTGCGTTCAAAGGTACTTCAAGCTGACTTCTGACGCTGTGTGACAGGAAGATTCCAAGACAGGTAACAGCTCTGCATACATGGAAAGCTTACTATCGTTCCTTTTAAAAAGTCATTTCTAAACACTTTTTGCTAGAAAGATGCTAATTATTCTCCAAGTTTTAGCACAGAAGTGTCTGAAGAGCCAATTAAGTCACAGGGGGAGCCACCTATCCTGTTTTCTCCAGGAAAGTTAAACCCCTCTGCAATTCCTACGTAGCTACTGTACAACCAAAAGGGAAACGACACCGAGAAAACCCAAGCCAGAAGTAAGTTAAGAGGACGAAGACACTGCCCAGTCGGGAGCAGCAGCTCTTACTGCAAGATTCTAATTCACAGTGACAGAGGAGAAGCCAGCCCAGCCTGCCTCGGCCTGGGGCCCAAGGTGTCCCGCTGTTAATCGGGTCTAAGCTTAGTCTGTAGGGCTAGGCTTGCACTGACGGCTCAAGGGAGGAGGGAAATGCAGGCGAGGAGTTGGGAGGGAGGTAACCCTGACGCCAGCGGCATGCACTGACGGGGGAAATCCACCTGCCCCAGGCGCTCCGCCTGGGCACCTCAACCATCGCTTCGGCCCCTTCTCTTCCCCAGCCGAGCCCCCCACGCCGCCAGGGACCCCAGGCCGGGCCGACCTGGGGCAGCGCCGTC